CCCTTGGCCGACCATGTCACGCATGACATGCAGCGACTGCTCCGAAACTTGAGCAGCGTTCAATGGGTTACGTGCACCCCACGATCAGCCCGCGAGCCACGCTCGACTCCTGTCCGATACACCGCTGGTGTCTATCAACTCGGACATTCCAATGTCCAGCACGGTGACCGTCTCGGTCCAGTGCTCTCGCCAATAGCGCTTTTGTCTACTAGCTGAGGTGGGTTGATGACTCGCCAAAGGTCCACCAGGAGACGTGCGCGTAGCGTCCAAGTTCTTTGACCTCGAATCAATTTGTGGTCCATGGTGTTCCAATCATGCCATTCCTAGGATGAGGTCATACATTGCATCCAAGTCTTAGACTAGACAGCGTTCCACGCTATCAAAGTCAAGGAACTTGATTCCGAGGTCCACAGGGACCTCCGGGACCGTGACATGCGTCCCCGTCGCAAGGCGAACAGTGAAGATGTCACCCAGCCGCACTCCCAGCGCCTCAGCTTACAACTGACTTCCTTCCATCGTGGAACGACGTCCCGAGATCGATGAGGATCTTCCATGGCTTCTCGAAACCCTTTACGGTCGCTTCCACGACCAGCAAGCCCGGCTTGCATACACGTTCCGTGTTCAAGAGCACGGAGCTTTTCGGGGCTAAGCCCTGTTGACCTATGCCTCCCTACTTGCTCAACATAATTCAATTCTTCCCCAGTAGATCGCCCCGGTGTGGTGTCGTTTCCCCGCGACGAACCAGACTGGTAGGAATCAGGGCGATGGTTTGAAGAACCTTGACGCGCCTTGCGCAGGGGGCAACCGCGCCGAAGGTGACGGGTGTCTCCACAGATAAAACACCGTCGTGTATTTGTGTGCTGCACGGCAGCTCGGAGCTCCTCTCACTCATCCTCAGCATACTGAGATCCGGGGGCATAGGCTCGCTTGACGAGCTGTTGGAGTGCGCATTCCAACCAAGTCCTGCCGACTTGAAATGGAATTCGGCATTCAATGCCACATTCACCGCCTCTTCAAACAGAGACGGATGCACACGGAAGACTTCCATCCTGGCCACGCGAGTGCGGAGACCTTCCATAATAACCGTCACTATGACCGCCTCTGGAAGGGGATCTGCTGCCATCTCGGCAATGAGAGT